CGGGTGTAAAACGAAGCAGTTGTGGGTGTCGGGTAGGGGAGGCAGAGACCGGGTAGAGCGCTTGTGCGTGCAGTATAGGTGACTGTCTGGAGCAGTGTGTGTCCGCGCTTCTTTCGGAGACGAGCCGAGGCAGCGGCCGCGACGAGTGGATGAGCGCCAGAGTGCTGCTCACCTCTCCAGCAGCTGAGCGCTACTGAACAAAAGAGTGCTCCGCAGGCTCTCTATTCAAATAGCAGGAGAGGGATGGAGGGGGAGGAAGAGTGCGGAGGAGGAGGAGGAGGGATGAGGAGGAAAGGGGGCACATCTGTCCGCGTGCCATTCCCGCAAAGTCTTCTCCGGTCTACGCGGAGCACGTGCCAAAACTGGCAGATTACAGCCTGGAGACCGAGGAGAAAAAGGAAACATTACATTTAAATAGAATAGAATAGAGTAGAGTAGAATAGAGTAGAGTAGAATAGAATAGGCCATGTAAATCCCTACATTGGAGACAGTAAGGCTGCCTTAGAATATTTGGGCGGAAGGATATCATTTTCCCACGAAGAAGAAGCAGCAGTTCACTAGTCCTGTAGTCATTTCATCAAATTATTGTTAATGTATTTCAGAAAATAGCAGCTATATCACTGTAGATAAAAATAGATGAGGAGAAACTAATAAAATCCCATTAGTGTCAATATTAAATTCCACCTAATGATGAGCATTTTGTGACAGCTCGGGGTGTTGGGCTATATTTAGGAAACATGTTATTTGGTGCACCGTGTACCATCAAGACTTTCAAAGACATTTCCCCTGATATGTGATTGTCGACACGTCCTTTCCTTTTCTGATTTGTGAGGCTGTTTGAAACGAGGTGGGACAATGTTTGTAGGACAGGAGCACCATCTAGCGACGGATTTATAAAAGTAGACCACCTTATCATGAAGGCTCTCAGGACATTTCACAAAGTAAGTCAACACACGCATTCAAGGCCTTAGTTTTTCTAAAGTAATCTAAATGAAGCCTTCATACCTACTCCAATGTAAACATCAACTTTGATGGAATTATTGTTTATGGATGTTTTACATGGGATGTAAGGATTCTGTGTGGTCTGCTAATCATTTCTATATTCACATCAATTAATGTCCTCACATTTTCTAAAAAATCCTGTGACTTTGCAATTGTTTGCTGTGGCATAAACAAGGCATAAGAAGAATAGATTAATCCTCTGAAGGAAGACAAGGAAACGTTTTTGCTCACTGTATTGAGATGACCACAAGGTGGCACATCTATGTCCAAAACAATTTAGAAAACGTGTAATAAACAATATAAATTAACAATGAATAAAAGAAGCAAAATTAAAATGCAATTTTGTTTATATATACACAAAATAACTTTTCTTTGTGAATGCATACTTGGCCAAAATCTCCGTCTGAACCTGATTCTGATAAAGTCAGACAAAAATCAAAGATCTGTCACTTTTTTTTTTACAATTTTCCCCAACAGTTACAGTTAATATATGAGAAAAGAACATAATAGAAAAAATAAAACAAAAGAAAAGTAAATAGAAGACTAGTTAAATGAAAAAGTGATAGGAAGAAACACTGACAAAGAAAGAAGGAAATAGTTGTATATATAGTAGTTCATACAATTTATATTACAAAGATAGAGATTTAGAGGTTTTATATACAACATATGCTTGTATATACATTTCGTTTATTGTATATTCATCATGCAGTGTTTACAATGAATGTGTACAAACATACAAACACACATACAC